TAGGGTCAGTTCATAGAACGCCTGTACAACGTGGTGTCTGGGTGCCAGAGGTGGGCCCCCTTCTGACTCTGAAAGTCTTAGCAGCTAAGGAAAGAGGCAGACTTGAATGGGTCAAGATTCATGTTGTCCGGATTAGAGTAGACCCGTTGCTCAGGCAAGCTTTCCGAGATCATTGAAAACCCGTGCACTTGGGCTTCCCTGGTGGCGCAGTGGTTGAGAGTCCCCCTGCTGATGCAGGGGACACGGGTTCTTGGTCCGGGAAGATCCCACATGCCGCGGAGCCGCTGGGCCCGTGAGCCACGGCCGCTGAGCCTGCGCGTCCGGAGCCTGTGCTCCGCAATGGGAGAGGCCACAACAGTGAGAGGCCCGCATACTGCAAAAAAAAAAAAAAACAACAACAAACCCGTGCAACTCGCCTGGGAATGGTTGAATAGTGCTAGGAATAACGTCTGAGTTACTTATATGAATAAACTCAGCACTTCTTAGCTTTTTTCCACTCTTCTCATAATACTGTAGAATGCAATTCATGTTCTAACAGGTCATCAAAGTCACTTCTACGAGGCCAGAGCACCCTGGTGCAGTACACATCTTTCTACTGGTTAAACTTAATCCAAAAAGAACATTGAAAGGAATAAAAGGAAAGAAGGAGCAACTCCATGGCCTTTGTGATGAACACCCATGTGTATTATTTCTCACAACTTTAATGCAATTTGAATAGTTACGGGCTAAGATAATATGCTCTTGACGAGCTGAAGGGGACAGGATTATTTCCTCCATTAAAATGAACATACTTGAAAGTACAGCCACACAGCCTTCACCTGGCCGTGGCCTGAGGGTAGCAACCACTGGGGAAGATAAAAACTGTCCTAAAAGAATCAAAGGCAAAGGGACAAAAAGACCCCTTGATCTATTCCATAGATCAAGGCAACAATGATTTTAGCCTGGAAAAGTTTCAGAGTAGGTATTATCAGTCATTCCCCAACCAGAAAAAAAATTAAGAAACTTGTAAGAACCTATTGAATGTCTAGTTTTATGTGCTGTAATTTTTGGAGATGGCTCCAAGAAGATGTGGATGAAAATGTACTTCTAGGCAGTTCAGTATATTTGGGGCGGGGGAGTGGGGAGTTCCTGCTAAGAGTTTAGAGTAGTTGGTTTAAGCTGTTCTTCTTTGACAGAACCGCTGTCATCTTTATGCATAACTCAGTGACATTTAGAATTTTTTTTGAAAGTTCTTTCGGTAATTATTTGCGCTGTGAGTTTTATCTTATTTTATTTATGCATTTATTTTTTTGGACACTCTGCGCGGCATATGGCATCTTAGTTCCCCGACCAGGTATCGAACCCGGGCCCCCTGCATTGGAAGCTTGGAGTCCTAACCACTGGACTGCCAGGGAAGTCCCTAGAAAACTTTTTATTTCTTCCCTTTTCTACTGCATCCAGCTTAGACTCCTATTCCCTTATTTTCTTTTCCTGCCTTTCTCTAAGATGGAAAATAAATCCCATGCCAGTGCCAATTGTGGGTGGCTCTCTTTTTAGAAAAACACTCCAAGCCTTGTCTATGCTCAGCATAAAAGAATATTCTGGGCCGGGAGGGCGTCAGAGGGTGAAGGGGTGGTCTGAGGTTCTGCGAGCCTTTCTCCTCTTCTCTTGCTGCCCCGTCTATAGTATATAAAACAACAAACATCAGTGGTATCAGGCCCTTTATGGGATATAGTGAGAGGTAAAAACCAGAGTAGAGCATAGACCCTGCCCACGATCTAGATTGCAGAATAAATGAGACATTTCAGATAACCATAACATAAGGCATGGTGTGCTATAAGCACGGATAGGAAGGGAAATGTACCCCCACCCCCGAAAAAAAATTAGGATGGTACTGAATTGTCTGCTTTTGCCGCAAGTTTCTTATTCAGTTCAAGTGAACAAAATCTCTGCACCTGCCAGGTGCCAGGCCCCCCGTGAGGGGCTGGTGGGTCCAGTGGGGGTCAAGCACAGGCCTTGTCTCAGATTGCTACTTCTAGCAAGAGTCATCAGAGCTTTGTAAAGGTGTCTGCTTGAGGCCAGGGACTTGGTCTTTCTCTGACATGTTTTGATATGTTCCCTCAAACAGTCCCACAGCCTGGAGGAGAGAGAGCAAACAATTTTCCTGGAAAGGTGATTAACACTGAGGCACAGCAGCTAGAAATTGGCAAGGTGCCTTCCGCAAGGTTGGGGAAGTGATTTATTTTTCCAGCCTCACCGCAGGAACCAAGGCCCTGGCAGATGCCTCCATGCCTTAGCAGCAGCTGATCCAGATGAGATCATTATTAATTATTAGTCACTTTAGAGTGTCTTTTTCAGAAACTACAGAGTTCTTGGGAAGCCCAGACTCTCCTGAGTTGCAGTCAACACTATGTACACCTTGCACAGGGACCTGAGTGGCCTGTAATTATAAAACAGTATTGATTCCTGGAAAGGGGGTTGAAAATGTACAAATCCTTCACATAAAAATCAGCTAAATCTTCAAAAGCCTTGATTATATTTTTTCCTCAAGGAGACTGATGGTGGGAGTAAAAAACTTGAAATGTTAGCTAAATTAGGGCTGTTTCCTGCCAGGAGCCAGATCTGTACACATAATTATTTTATTCTCTGTGCTGGCATTGATTCACTTTGGTTGAGTGTTGGAAATATCTCTGTTTTGGGTCTGTAATCCAAATTATTCAGTCAGTTCCTATGATGATGTTTTCTACTTGCATCTTCCTGTATTATTTTTCTGTAAAACAAATAATCACATGTCTGGAACTTGACTCATCCCTGCCCCCCAGCACACCCCTCATTCCCATCCCTAAACTTGTATATCACACCACCTGCCATGCTCCTGAGCAAGAAACTTCACTCACCACTCACCCTCACACACCCCATAGTCACCAAATTCTGCCCGTTTTATTTTTGGCCTAATTCTAATTTCTGCTTCTAGGTTGGCGTCCACTACAGTCCTGTTGGAATGACTGGAAATCCGGATAGTTTTTAGTTTTTCTTCCTTTTGGCTGTATCTCAGCAGCAATTACGAACATGGATTCTCCAGCTGCCTTTGCTTAGCTTAGGGGTGCCCTGTCATTTTCTGTCTGGTCCATAGAATGGCTTCACATTGCATTTTCAGCTTCTAGTCCTGTGCATCCCATGGCGGGTAGGAGCCCCCTTGAAAATGCAGGTTTGGTCATGGCATTTGATGGCATATAGTCTTCCAGCGGCTCCCCATTGCCTACAATCTAAGATGGACAAACAATTCTTGATCTGCAAGTGATAGACATTGAGTTTCAAAAGATGCAGTTTATCTCCCAAGCCTCAGAGACTGTTGGAAGAGAGCGGATCTGGAGGATTGCGGGCACCAGCCACATCAAGAAGGCCACCTCATTCTTGGGCTTCTTTGGCACTTTGACTATCTGTGGTTGGTTTAGCTGGGCTTGGGACAGAGAGTTTTTGTACTAGAAAGCTGTTTCCCAGGTTTTATAGAGCTAACTTCTCAGTGAGATACAGTCACAGTCGATTTTATTTTGGATACCTCATGCTTCCTCAGCAAGGCAGTGAAGTGCTGTTGAGACTGTTACAGGGGAATTGACCCTCTGATCGGCCCCTCCAAACCTTGTATTTGAGGAAGAAATCCTAATGCCAGTACGGGGCTCCAACACAAAGGGCCTGCAACATTTCTCAAAAGAGGCACTACTGGCGTGTGGTACAGGAAAACACTTTGTAATGTATGAGTGTCCCACACATGCCAGGTGCTCCAAGGATTGGGGAATGGTACCATCCCTACCTAGGAAACCTTGGCTCCTGTCACTATTCCTAAGGTATTCTCCTTACTGAGAATATAATGAAGGACTGGATTAATTATGATCTGTCACTCCTGTTGCCTCTTCATCTTCTGTATTGATTGAGTTCAGACTGGAGTCACATTGCCTGTCTTTGAAATCAAGCTCCACCACTTACTGAGTATGACCTTGAATGTGGGCATGACCTCGGACAACTACTTAATCTCTCTGTGCCTCTGTTTTCTCATTTAAAATAGGAGATAGTAGTATTAATAACATCTGCCTAAAAAGATTTTTGTGCAGATGAAATAGGATAAAGCATGAAAGGTGCTTGCCATGACATCCACTTTCAGAGGCATAATGATTGTATGAGATGATGGTGGCTCCTGAGCTTAACATCGTACTTGAGTGACAAGTTGAAATCGACACTTAAAAGTGACTGCCCCAAAACAGAAAGGCAGCAGGGTCTATCAGAAAGTGGAGTGACCAGGTGGGAGTCAGTAGATTCTGTTTTGTCCACAGTCACAGTTACTGTGTAGCCTTGAACACGTCACTTCCCTTCTCTGGTGTTTGCTTTTACGCGGGCCTCTCACAGTTGTGGCCTCTCCCATTGCGGAGCACAGGCTCCGGACGCGCAGGCTCAGCGGCCATGGCTCACGGGCCAAGCCGCTCCGCGGCACGTGGGATCTTCCCAGACCGGGGCACGGACCCGTGTGCCCTGCATCGGCAGGCGGACTCTCAACCACTGTGCCACCAGGGAAGCCCCTGGTGTTTGCTTTCTTGATCTATGATACATTTGCCCTACGTGGTGTCCAAAAGACTGAATGGCATGAGCATTGCAAATGTGCTTTAAAACCTGTAGCATCTCACAAACAGTTTGATGATATGTAATAAGTAACTGATTATACATCGGTGTTCTACCTACCCCTGATTTGGAAACCCTCATCAGCCAACTGGGAGGACGCATTGAATGGGAACTTCTAGGGAGACGTATAAACCTGGGGAGCCCACCTGCGTGGTAAACACTGAATTGCCCTCTATCAGCCCATCCTGGCCAATGCGCCCCCCCAGTGGCATAGGCGAGGAGCCCTCAGGCATGCAGGTATCTCGTTAAGAGCTCACAACCACGGTCCTGCAGCTCTCCCTGCTGGCTTCCCGACACACCCTTCGCCCCTGCCCCGTTCCCTTCACGGTTGTCTGCTTGTCGCCCCACAGCAACAAAGGCGAGAGAAGGAGCTGCGGAAGCAGCAGGAGAGGGAGCAGCGGCGGCACTACGAGGAACAGATGCGCCGCGAAGAGGAGAGGAGGCGCGCGGAGCACGAGCAGGTACAGCTGGGGCCCCACAGGCGGCCCCGCGGGAGCGCCAGCACCAGCCGCCTCGGGCTGTGGGTCACCTGCTCCTAGGTGTGCTCAGGTTAAGCAGGTTTTTACTCTTTCTCAAGCAACTACTCTCACCTATTCAAAGACGCACAACCTTGGCAAAGCCCACTCGTTCAACCTGGCTTCCTCCCCAGGCCGAAGTCCCCTGACGCACCTGGATCTCGTGATTTTCCCAACCCTGGGCATCTACTTTGAAAGTAGCACTGGAGCGTGATAAACAAGCCAAGTGCTCCCCTTTCATCGCTTCAGAAGAGCTTTTCTACTCAGGCAACTCTGGTCTCCAGGACTTGGAGCCATCGATGCAGGCCCTTTCTCTCTTTGTTAGAATCACATTCTGACAGTGCAGTGGAACTGCAAGATGGTTCCGTTACAAAGGCAGTGCATGATGGCGCTCAACCATTATTTTACCCCTGCTGCTTGCACGGGGGCCTCTGAACTTTATAGCATTGTTAATTTCAGATAGCCCCTAAAGAGGGAACCTGTCATGAAAAGTTTTTAAATATAGCTCGGTTCTCCAAACCAAAGAGTAACTAACAGCGAAGTACTGAGCCATCTCAATCCGCTGCAGCTGCAGGTAGAGGGCTTGTGCTTTTGACTGCATTGAAACGCTTTTGCTTCGGTGCGGGGTACCTTTCCTGTTTAGTGAGGAGGTGTCTGGGTATTTTTTTCCCCCTCCTTCCTTCCACACTTCACTTGGCAGCTCTTGTCACCCTTGAAATTATCGGTTCTTTTTCTCTCTCTCTTTCTCTCGTTGTGTTCCTCTGAATTCTCTGCCACCTACCTCTCCAGGAGTACATCAGGCGACAGTTAGAGGAGGAGCAGAGACAGTTAGAGATCTTGCAGCAGCAGCTACTGCATGAACAAGCTCTACTTCTGGTAATGGGAAAGCCAAGCCAGCTGACCTGCTCTGTGTTCGTCGTGCGCGCACGTGTGTGTGTGTGTGTGTGTGTGTGTGTGTGTGTGTGTGTGTGTGGTCTCCTCTAACATGCCAGTCAGGAAGGAGGGGATCCTCCAAGCCTCATGGACCTGGAAAATCTCCTAAAACTTAATTCGTTTCCTGACCCAGTGTGCTGAGTCAATATGTTTAATGTACTTGTTATGCATTCTTTATTAACTCCAGCTATTTGTGAAACTTTAACATGAATCCAGCCTTATTATAAGTTCAGACTGTTTTTGAGACCCACTGTGTTTATTGCAGAGTAATGTTTGAGGTCATTTGCAACATGCTGGAATACAATCACAGCAAAGCGCCCTTCCTCCCTAAGAACCCGCTCAGCTCTGTAGTCATATTTCATTTGCAGGCTATTAGTTTTACCGTTACGATGGGAACATTTTGTGTTACCTGCTCAGGCGGCTTCCACTTGAAGTACTTTTTATTATTATTACTGCACTGCTCTCCAAATGAGCTTCTTGATGTATCTTTTTTTTTTTAACTGAACTTTTTATTCAGCGGCACTGTGATATTTTTTAGCCTGAACGTGGTTTTTGCTAATGGTTTCGTTGGTCCAAGTTTTGTTAAACAAAAGATGATTTAGGCAGTATCTTTAGGTACTTATTTCTTTTTGTACTTAATTGTACATGTTTGAATGATTTAATTACTAAACCAGAAAGTGGACGGTTCCTTATAGGGGTTGTGTGCTGACCATCCAAATGTCCTCATTATTGCCACTTTCTTGGTTACAATTCACCAAGGGCAAGTCACTTTGCAAAGGGTGGTATTCTGTAGGGGTTGCCATTAAAACAATAGTGTTTTCATTAAATGCCACATTCTGTGCAGATGCTAACCAAAGGCTGTAGTTTATCTCTATGGCACATCCTGATGTCCTCTTGTGGTTCTGTTGGTATTAAGGTCCTTTGTTATTTATCATCTCTTTTGGTTCCATTGCATGCTTCACTGGTACTGGCCAATGGTTTCACTGGCCAAGGTGATTTAGCCTTTTCTTTGTTCTCCTTTCCCGATCTGGACAGGAATATAAGCGCAAACAGTTGGAAGAACAGAGACAAGCAGAAAGACTACAGAGACAGCTAAAGCAAGAGAGAGACTACTTGGTTTCCCTTCAGCATCAGCGGCAGGAGCAGAGGCCTGTGGAGAAGAAGCCACTGTACCATTACAAAGAAGGGATGAGTCCTAGTGAGAAACCAGCGTGGGCCAAGGAGGTAAGTCAGCAAGCAAGTATAGCCTGTACCTGTGCTGTATTGGAGAAATTGGCCATAATGAGTTTCTCCAGTAGAAATAGAGAGTTAAACTAGTGCTGCAAAGTTGGAAAATAATTCATTATGAGACACACATGCTTTGCTTTGGGAAGAACTGTAACATTATTTCTGTACCTTAATCCATTCTTCTTTTTGTACGTAACAACAGGAAGTAGAAAATCCTTTTCCTTATTGGAATCCAATTGAGTTTGAGGCAGGAGGATTTTTAGTGACTTTTTCATGGAAGAATATGACTTAAGACTTAAGGAATTCTGGGTAGGATCATTTCCTATCCATACCTAGACCCTAAAAGTGACCATTAGTATTGTCACTAACATTCCATGTTCTGTGGTAACAGTGAATACACAGGTGGACCCAGACTTGTGATTGTGGTTCACTTACCGGGTCAGAGGTCATTTATATTTCATTTGCAAATACTTTCAAAGTGATGGTCCTTCATTTGCTTAACTACTAGACTAAGAAAGAATTTTCAGGAACTTGACTCTGTGATGAACTATTTAAAAATCTCATTAAAAATTATTTGAATAGTAGGAAAAAGAGGGTGGTAACCAAATGAGTAAGGCAAACAAACAAAATGATAACTCTCGCCAAGATCGACAACCCTTCTAGGAAGTCGCTGTGTCATCTCATATGCCTGACACCCGGGTTTTCAGTTCTGTCATCAGTGTGGCAACTAATGATTTCCTTTATTTTCTTGTGAGCATAACCAGTCATTTGAAAGGGTGATTTATATTACTCTGCATTTTCTTCTAGTATCTTCAGATATTTATAGCTAGAGCTTATTTCAAGTTATCTAGCCTACAATATTACCAGAACCTGATTTCTTACATAAGATCCTATTTGTATAATTTTTAATTTTCTGCTCTCTCTTACATATGTATAGAAAATGCTTGAAATTATGTTGTCCTAATGTTAATAATGGCTGTCTATGGGAAGTAGAAACTATAGAGTTTTTTTCTTTAAACTTTTTAATACTTTTATGTATTATGTTTTATGTATTTATGTTTAAATCCTTTATAATGATTTTATACTATTTTTACAAAACTAATAACCTTTAAAACTTAAAAACTAAATCTGTAGATAAAAGTCATTCAATGTCAACGTTTTTGATCACTTTCCCTTAGAATCTATGAATGCGATTTGTATTTACCTATGTCTGTAACAACTGCCTCTTTCTCCCAGGTCAGTAATTCAATTTTGTGATCCTACTCCCAGGTACAACACCAACCCCTTAATAACCCACGTGTTCTTCCAGCTAATCACAATCACTATGCTCTTAAACAGCAGCTGATGTGGTTCCTGGCTAGCAGAGATGTGTCACCTTCCTCCACTGCTAAACCATTCTTTAGCCACATCAAGCTGAAACCCTCAGCTAAGCCAGACTCACAGCTCATGATCATGGCAGGTATTGAGAGCCTGAAAAACTAGCCTCTCCTAAGCTAATGCCAGTAGCACCTGCAGAAATGAATGATTCCAGATCAAGACCCCTGTTTCAGCATCGCTCATGGAAGAAAGATGGACCGGCTTATCCTATTAGACTTGGTCTTGAAGAGCAACTGAAGCCTCAGCGAGCCTCAAGGACCACAGTGAGATCAACAAAGCGATCTCGCTCCCAAAGATGTAGCCCAGCTCAAGAGTCAGGACTTAAGTCATTTGTGTGTCCTCTCCCAGCATCTCCAAAGTGATGAGCCCCCAGTTGTCCATTACAGCAAGTAAGGAGGGCCTTAGAGACTCATGTGTACCTTGGGGCAGGAGGGGCATGAATTCATGCATCCATACAAGTACCTCGACTCCTCTAAGAAGTGCTGCATCACTAAATGACCTCTCTTTGATGCATGACCCCCTGACCTTCAGTGCTCCCAGCCCCAAGCATGAGCTTAGGAAAGGGACACCAACAGATCCCATTGGAGAAGACTATGATGCCTTGCAAAGCATACCAGAATTTCTTCTGTCCCTTGTGCAGCTCCCTCATGCACAAATGTACCAGCAAAGGGGGGGAAACATAAAGCAGTTTCCACTTTCTTCTTTCCACCTCTACCCAGCATGTTTTGATTTGAACTTAAACATTTTGACTTCATTATTTTCTGATTACTATTTGTCCTCATCATTAAATGTCCTGGCCTGTCCTCTCTCTTCAGAGCTAATTCACAGTTCCCAAGCTTTCAGAAGCCATGCCGTTCCTGGAGGCAGATCTTTGCAGATATCATCAGGGCAGTTTTGTAGACCTCTTAATTCCCCTGTGCTTCTCAGCCAGGCTCCTAGCAGTAAAGGAAACATAGCCAGTGGGAGTGCAGACAGCATGGCTGTGTCATCAAGCACACCCGATGTGAGGTTCCCAGGCCATCCTAAGTCTGGGCCACCTCTGGTGGGTGACATCTTCCAAGGTCCCTGGCTTCCTGACAGCTGGAGTTCTTCCTTTGGGCTTCATGGACTTTTAGACATGTGGGAACATTCTTTTAGGATTTTAGACTTAATCCTATCCTCCTGGGTGTGTTTAACATAATCCAGCTTCCAACTAACCACCTATCCTTGAAACAGTTCCCAAGTCTTAGAGTGGGTATTCATATTTTAGAAGAAAGATGAAACATTTAGATGACAGAATGAGTGACGGTGCTAAATTGGGGATTGGAGCAACTGGTATACAAATAAGTACAAATAATTGTCTGCTTTAGTTTAATTCATCATTTTTTTAACACCCACTTCTTAAAATGGGAATAAAAATGAGTGTGAGAATCCTTATCTTCCTGATCTCTCAATGATTCTAATCAGCAATATATGAACTTTTCTTCTAGAACTTTATTTACAGGTTTCTTTTCTTATAGTAGGAGGTAGATGGGGTTGAAAGTAGCCAGACAGTGAAATACATTTCAAGACTTTAGATATGGACAGAATTTCTAGCTCAGCAGTATCTTAATTATCAACCAATAAAAAGAACCTTGGTTAAACTCTCTTTTGGAGGTAGAATAAAAGGTACCATTTTCTTTTTCAAAGGCATCCTCTGCGAGGATATAATTTGAAAATATCCTCACCAGGGATGGGTAGGCAGCAGCTATACCATGGTCTCCTGTGATAGAGGGTCTGGGCTTTTTTGCCCCATATGCCATTGAAGACACCACCTGGCCATCTTCCACCCACAGCAGCCTCTTCTGTAATCTGCTGCCATATTTGTTTCCTAACTCAGCTCTATACCTTCTCATCAGGGTGGTTTTTCCTTCTTTGACTACTTTTCCATCCACTTACTTTTCCTTATTTCCAATCGACATTTTTTTCATTAGCAGTGTAATATTGTTATAATGTTTCATCCTCCGTGTTTTCGTTGCTTCATTTTGTAAAACATAAATCATCACATTTCTCATTTCCTTTCTTATTAATCTGTCGGATGTAGTAAGAACAAATGAAGATACTTGGTTATTGGCAAATCTTGAGCTCTTCTCTCTCTCCTTTTACCGAGTTTTCTAGTTGTCCTAAATGTTACATTGACTTTGATTTTCAGATTTCAGCCAGAAAGGAACATTAATGTCTCCATTAAAAGGAGGAGTGGGGGGGGGGGGGGTCTCACCCCTTTCAAATTCTCTGCCGTTTCTAGATTGGAATGGAAGTCAGATTTGTTTTGTGAAAACATCAATATGATATTCTGTTAAACATCAGCAAAATGTGAAGGTTTTTTTTCCCCACTGGCACTTTTTGAAAGATGGATATTCCTTTTCTTATAATGCCCTTTCTTTATAATGGTACAGATTCCTGTTTCTTATAATGGCATGTGATTGTCTCGGCCTGGCAACACTTTTTTTTTTATTTTCACCAGCACACAGCAGTGACAGAATGCTATGTCTACATGAGTGTTGCATGAGATGGTATTGTAATTTTTTTTTAAACACTTCATCATGTTCTTTCTCTCTGATTAATGCCAGTCATCTGGCCATGGTTTTATTTGGCAAGTGATGGGCCAGGATGTCTCTTTATATCCCATCAGCCCATTGGACTTTGAAATCCTTGTACATAAGAACTCTTCTCTACTTGTTTTCTCTGCTCTACACTGATGGTTTTTTCTTTTTATATGAATTATTTTATATATGAGGTCCCATATTACTATTTAGAGAGTTTATGGCTCTTTTCCCATCTTTCCTCAGTTTCTGCTTATCTCTCTTAAGATTTAGCGTGAGAGAGACCTGACAGGAAATAGGAAAGAGCTTATTTGAGTTCAAGTTCTTCCACTCACGGTCCTTGTGACCTGGAAGTCTCATAGTCTTCCTGAGGTGCAGCCTCCACAGCTGTACTTCCTGTCTCAAGGTTGGGAGGATCCTGGGCAACCATGTATGTGAATGTGCCATTGAAACTGTAGGCGCTGTACAAATGCAAATATGATTCAACATATTTCTCTTTTGCTCCCAAGGCCATTGTTGCCCACAAGGAATAAGTGTTTTGCCTGTGTTGTTTCTGGTTGGGATTTCACATGAGCAGTTCTCATGCATCTCCCATCTCTTCCACTTACCTCTCTCTGGTGATAGATGCACACTTTTTAATTTCCCATCCCAGCTTGCCAAAGATTTGCCTCATTACTTTTAAGTTATATGCTCCATTCACATGAGGATCTGTACTTTTCTGTGCAATCAGTGGTTAGGAGTAGATCTTGGAAAACTAGTCCGGGCCCTTATCTTTAGACAAGATTACATTTTAAGCATTCCCTATGAATGAGAGCCTCCCCTGTCCTCAAAGGTGCCCCAGAGAAGGGATAGCACCAGTCTTACTCAGCAGCCATCTCCCATGTGGTTTTGCCAAAAGACAGTGTGACTCAACTCTTCATGTACCCAGTGAGTGCAGGGTCAGAGTACCTAATGAGGACTTAAAAATCACTGGACTTCTTTCTCTTCCTCCAACATTGCCAGTAAACACAAAAATCAAATTGTTTTGTCCAGTTGGGGAAAAAATATTCCCATACGATT